CATCTTCATCTGATTTTATTCTAGCACAGCCCCAAGCCCTAATTTCTGAGGCAAAACAGAGCTACAGCAGCTGAGACTACAGTGAGATCTTGTGAGAAGGATGGTACAAATGCTCCAGACCTTCAGCAAGGTTAGGACCACCTGGCTGTGTCATACCTTGGAGGCTGGGGACAGCTGCTAAAGATCTGAAAAAAAGAAGTTATATAAGGTCAGCAGACCTGGCCTCTTTGAGGAAGATCTACCCTCAAGTGTCTGCCCACCTGAGGGGCTGAGTAATGCTGTGGAATGCCGATGTAGGCAGATGAATCACTGCTGGTGAGAAGTCACTGCTCTATCCAAGACCACAAATAGCATCATGTTCTTGAGATCCTCCTTTTCATTTCCTTCCTGCAGATTCCTGGGGTGAGCAGGAAGAGATTGGGCTGCCTGACCTCCTGTACCTACAGTCATGAAAATTTCACCCCCTTACTCTGAAATCAGTAACTTGTCTTACTAAGATAGCTTCAGACAGGCATTTGGCTGGGCTTGAAGACACCAAAAGATGGCAAATGCAAGACATCCTCTCCTGGCAATCAGTCCCTCCACATTATTCTTACTGTTTTGTTTTTTCTCTCATGATTGCTATGCCAACAGGGCTAATGAAGCTTTCTATGCAGCAGCAATATGGTCTCAATTTTGTTTACCTTGGATTTTATCCTTTATCTTAGAATACTCCTTTCTTTTTGGCCACAGACTTAAGGTTAACCATAGAAGGGAAGGGAAGGGAAGGGAAGGGAAGGGAAGGGAAGGGAAGGGAAGGGAAGGTCCTCTCTTTCAGCTTCATATCTGTATCCCCATCCCCTCCTGCCCTTTGGAGGTTCTCCTTGTGCTCCCCACCACCAGGATCTCTTTCCATTTACACAGCTCCCTCTGGTTTTTGTCTCCCCTCTGCCCCCTTGCTTTTTCTTGACCTCCCAGACGGTGCTACCATCAGTGCTAGCTAAGAAGGAGGCCCCAGAGCTGCTGATGTGGCTGTCCGGGGGCACTATCCCTCTCCCAGCAACTTAGTGACTGTAACTGCAAGAACCACCAATGCCTCATGTCCTGTGACCAGACCTGAGCAGCACTGCTTTCCTTTCATTTGCTCCTTCCATTTTCCAGCAGAATTTCTACTTCCCGCTGCTTTCCATCTCTCGTTTCCTTAGAGGAACACATCACAGCTCCTACAGATTTTGTGTATGTCCTTAACCCACAGATTCAAAAAACTGAGATGCAGTTGGCAGAAGCAGCAGTGGAAATGGTGCTGTGGTGGTGTGAATACACAGCAGCACCGGCAGCGGGCAGGAGGCAGCCCCAGGGACCACTCGCTGCACACTTGCAGGGTCATTCCCATGACCATCTGCACCTTCTCCCTGACTCTGGGGGAAGGTGTTTAAACCCAACCAGGCTAACCCTGGGTGGCCTATTCTGGCTGACGCTGTCTGGGCAGGAAAAGGGGATGAGGTGACCCAGTGTTTGAGCAATGGGAATGTCAGAGGTTGGTTCCCTTGTAACTAGGCTGGGTGGGCCTCCTCATGCACCAACAAACCTCAGCTATGAGGTTTCATGGGAACATGTGGTAGCTAGAGGAATAGAGCAGAGGCAAAACACTGATGTGCGCCCTGGGAAGTGTCAAGGCCTTTCAGTCTCCACTCGAAAGACAGCAGGGCAGAGCAGGTTCTGACCCATTATTGCTACGGTGGCTGTTTCCCCCTTCTGTTTTTCCACATCCAGTTTGTTCTCTCTCCCTTCCTCGGTGGGTGCCCTCTCCCTAGAGCTGTTGTGGTTTTTAATAAGAATTTTTCAAGTAGCTGGTAAGTACAAGTAGCAAATTCGAGACCCCCGCAAGGATAATGAGATCATTCGCACCGCAGAATGCAAAGCCCTCCAAGTGCCGATTGTTGTCTCTCCCGGTGGACTATGCCCACACTGCCTGTATTTCTATCGCTGTTGCTCATCCCAAACACGGCAGCGTGCCCCGGGCAGTACCGGGTAGGATCGGGCCGAGGTACGGCTCCCTGCCAACACGAAGGGCCGAGAATCGTCACTGGAACAGCTCAGAAATATCCTTTAAAGCTTGTTAAGATTCTACCGACGGAGTCATTGATTTCGTTTCCCCGTTCATGAATCCCAATCCCAGTGCAAGACCTGCCAGCCCTCTGCCTGCCCCGGGTTGAGGCTGAGCTGAGGCGGGAGCACCGGGCACACCCTGCTCGGGCACTCATATCACCGGGCACCCCTGCTCCGGGAAGCCACCGGCACAGGCACCCCCATCCCTGGGCAACCCAGCTCTGGGAACCTCGGCTCGGCAACGCCGTCTCGGGCACCCCCGACCGGGACCGCGGCAGAAACAAAGGTGCTGGGGGATGCTTGGTGGTGCCCGGCGGGTGCCCAGGCGGTGCTCGGAGACGCTCGAGAGGCGCCCGGGAGAGGTTGCTCGGAGCATAGCCGGGGAGAGTGCCTGGGGACGCCCGAGGGGTGTCCCGGGGTGCCCAGCAGTGCCTGAGGGTGCTCGGGGCGGAGCCGCCCTCACGGGCAGCGCCGCGCGGGCCGAGAGCGACCCCTGCCGGGCGCGAGCGAGGCGGAGCGGAGCCTGTCAGCGCGCATGCGCGAAGCGGCCTTCCGCAGCCCCCTGCACTGCCGGTCCCCAGCGCCCCGAGCCCGCTCCCGCCTCCTCCGCTCCCTCACCCTCAGCACCCCGAGCCCGCTCCTGCCACCTCTCAGCCCCCGCCCACCGCTGCCACAGATTGCCCAGAGCAGCTGTGGCTGCCACATCCCTGGAGGAGTCCAAGGCCAGACTGGAACGGGGCTTGGAGAACCCTGGAAGGTAGAAGGTGTTCCTGCCCATGGCGGCGGGTGGAACGACATGAGCAGATGGGAAATCCTGGCTCAGGGTAGCAACGATGCGGTGAAGACCTCATTGTCTCGCACCACAGGACCAGCATCTGTCTGCTTTGGGATCAGAGACTGATAGGTAGAGCTGGAAGTGAGTCCTCCAGATTTGGTTCCAAGTGGCCAGCAGTGTTAAACTTGTTCTGCCAAGAGGTAACCATTTCTTTGTGTGCTGCACTCCAGTTTCAGTTTTGTTTGTGTCATCTCACAGACATCAGACTGGGGTGCACTTCTGCCTGCTGATCCAAGAGCCTCCTACTCTGTTCCCACTTTCCTCTGGCATTCTGATATGTGACCAAATTACCTCTTGCTCTGCACTGAACTCTTCACACAACACCACTTGAGTTGTTCAGGCTGATGTGGTGCCCATGGCTCCTTCTGGAGCCTTTCCTAGAGCTCTGTGGTGCCCCTGCACCATGAGCACTGGTAGCACACAGGTTCCCACTGCCATGAAGGGCCACCACTGCAGCTGGACATTTGGCTGCATGAGCAGCCACCAACATATCCCACACACTGCTGGGATGTGCCAGTGCAGTAGCCACTGCATGAGTTGCTTGTGCATTCATGTAAGTACAAGCAAGACCTTAAGTCATCTCTTCTTTGGCTCATCTGTGTGAAACAGGGATCACAACACTTGTTTTGCAGAGGGGTCCTGCAGTTTGGTTCATGAATATCAAGTGGTTTGAACTCCTGTGATGAAAGGTACTGGAGATGGACAAAGGGGCACCAACAGCCTAAAGCTGATAGAGGCCCAAGCAGTGGTCTCACCCAGTTGCACAATGTTTGCTAATCCTAGTGTGTAATCAGCATATGCAGGCAATGTGCTGGCTTGGGCTGTGTCACACACAGCAGCTCAGAACACTCACTGTGAGCTCATGCTCCCCAAGAGGGATGATTGGCATCTGCACAGCCACCAAGGGATGGGCAATGTGCAGGGGAGGACAGAGCTGGTGGTGGCAGGATCACAAGATGGGTGTCATTGACACACAGCCATGGCACAGAGAACATGCAAACCTCCTTCCTTCCCATCCCCACTGCCCGCCAGCTCTCCTGAATGAAGTCCCAGCTTTGTTTTTCTGATTTCCATTTTGTATCCTAAAATATTCACTCCAAGTTCCGCTTGACAGACATGCCTAATCTAATCTCCATGTCTGCTTTCTAATTTTCGCAGCCAGGATAAAACAAATTGGCTGGCGTTAATTGCCTGTGCAGCGGCCTGGAGCTCTGAGCCGTGATTTACGAGCTCGGAGCAGGCGCTCTGCAACACATTTTTCTTAATTTATTTTTAATGAGTCTCTCAATTAATTTTCTTGGAAACATCTTAATGATGTTGGAGGCGGGTGTTAATGAGGTTTGTAGCAGCACCTCATTTTGCATATTTTAAAGTACTGAATGGCATGAAGCAAACTCCTGGTCCTAAAACAGAAAAAAACCCTAAGACTGGAGAGGAGTCCTGGGCTGACATTACTGCCCTGGCTTGAGGCTGCATGGGTTAGTTGGTGACAGTGAACATTGTGAGGCTGAAGTTGGTTGAGCCCACAGGGATGGCGGGACCCTGGCAACATAGGGGAGGGCTGAGGGGCCGCGCTGGGTCATGGTTGGTGGCCAGACGCTTCTTAACAGATGGAATGAAAGCCTGGAAACAGAACCTGGGCACTGAGACCCTCATGCTGGCATGCCCTATGTTGTGGGCACCCCATTCCTTGCACACCCCTCAGAAAGACCTTTAGGCAGGAGCTCTCCAAGACACAGACTGGGCTGCCTGGGGCTGATGGCTGCGGGGTGCTCTGGGGTGTCTGCCAGCCTGTGGGGTCACTGGTAATTGCTGATGCATGTGCCAGCAAGAGGCAGCAGCTGGATTGTCTTTGTTTTCTCCCAGCATGTCAGTCTTCATTAAACTGGAGGGGAATGGAAAAGGATTCACTTTTGTCCCAGCCTGAACACAGCAGCTGTTTAATTTCAATTAAGGTGGCCCTGAAAAGAGTAACATGGCGGTAGTAATTAAAGTAAGACAACTCCCACCCCCAGGACTGTGCTCACACAGCAGAGGGGCCAGTTTTATACCCCCCACCCCACTCCCCCATCCTCCCAGCACCAGCTGAGTATGGGCAGGCAGCTGTAGGTCAGGGCTGTGGGGCTGCCCCACATGCTCACAAGGAGCTGGAGCAGTGTTGAGCCCTTCAAGGCAAGCTGCAGCTCAGCATGGTGTGGCACATCTGTGGTAGAGCAGCATTGCCTGTGGCACCATGCAACACAGCATGGCACAGCACACATGGCATGAGGCTTTGTCCCATAAAGGCTCTGTGTGCTGTGGATGCTCTGTGCCCTGGCTTTTGCTGCCTGAACAAGACTGAAGTCAGCGGGGAAATGCTATTTCCACACAGTGACAGAAACGGGGCAAATTCAATTGTGTTGTGGAAGCAGGGGGTTCAGCAGCCCTGCTCACAGGACTGTTGGTGCTGTGCCTGCTCCCATCACCCATGACTGTGACCCGCTGGTGGAGCAAGTCGTCATGGAAACTGATGATTTCTGCTATGGTACATCTGCGTTCACCTTCTAGGCCCAGTTCAGCCTTGGAAATTTCCAGTTAAAACACCTGTGAGACTGCACTGAGTGTTGGCAAGGGATCACACACAGCCCAGGGAGTCCCATGCCACCAGCACAGGTCAGCGGCAGGTCTGTGCTCACACCATCACTGTGCATCCTCAGTCAAGGCACCACTGGCTCCCAGAGGCCCGTGTCACTGACACAAGTACCCGCACACTGAGGGCTGGCTCCAGGCAGTGGGACAACCAGACACATGCACTCAGCCTCTCCTGTCCACACTCAGCCTCGCCTGGATACATTCAACCTCCCCAAGGGCCTGTAGCCCATGGCCCTATCAGGATGTGCCCCTGCAGCAGGTCCCCAAAGCTCTTTCCATTGTGTGGGTGGCAGACTGCAGGGCACAGCCCTGAGTACAGCACTGCTGCTATCCCCACTGTCACCTGGCCCTGGCTACAGCCCAGCACTGTGCTCTGGGGCTGGCTACAGACTGAGTATGGCCTGAGGACAGTGCAGGGGCAGCATGAGTGTGGCAAGGCCCTGCCCTGATATAGGGGTGCTGCCATGTTCTGAACCAGTTCTGAAGATGATGCCCAGGACCTTGTGATGTCATAGTGGCACATGGGGTAGTGTCACACAGCAATGCCAGGGATACAGGATGGTGAGGAGCATGGCACAGGAAGGCAGCAGTGATGACTGTGGGCAGCAGTAGGACCAGGTGCTGCTGAGGAGAGGGTCACAGCCTCGCACAGCTCTGCCCTGCTTTTACAGGAGCCCCAGGCTAGGCCTCTCCTGCTGGCATCAGGTGCTCCTCAGACAGGGAGTGGCAGTGCCAACACCATGGGACGGTGGGGCTGCCCCAGGCAGGGCTGAGTGACATCTGTGAGACTAAGGGTTGTCTGAGGCTGTGGGAAAGTTTATGGTACTTCCAACAGTGAGAGAATGGCCAAAATTTGGCACATCCAGGGAGGTTCTTGCACCTCAGGATCAGCCTGAAGGCTCCTGTAGAGGTCTACCAGGGGCAAAGGAGACAACACCAGAGCTGACCAGCTCCATCTAGCAGCTTCAGCAGGAGACAGACACCTGGCAGCCCAAGGTGAGCCATGCCAACCATATACTCAAGCCAGGCACTGGTTGCGTAGCCACAGATTGGTGGCCAGGTGATACAGGAGGCCCTGGCCAGCCCTTACCTGCACCACCAGACACCTCCAGGGCTGGGGAGAGCACAAGGGGCTCAGGCGTATCCAGTCCTGCTGTGGCTGCACTGGTCCCACTGCCATCATTTCCCACAGTGGCCACAGTTCACTGCAGCATGGAGGGCCAGTGGTTGCCAGGGGCTCAGCTGTTTGTGAGCCCATAGGAACTGTCAGAACATGCACACATGGAGCAGTGCTGCTTGGTGGGGAAGGGCTGCACCCACCTGTTTGCAACATGGTCCATTGCTGCTCTGCACAGAACTAGGACTGCCAGCATTGTCCAGCCCCAGTGCCTGCCCAGACAGGAGCTGCAAGATGGGCTACAGTGGTGAGCTGGACTGATGCTGCTCATGCTATGTCCTTAGGGCCAAAGGCAGACATTGGTGCTGGAGCCACAGCATGGGGAGCCCAGAGCAGGGCTGCCAGGACATGCAGCAGGAAGACCTGGATCCAGCTCAGGTGCTGGTCACAATACAGGCATTGCAGCTGGACCTGGACTTCTGCAGGGGCACAAACCACAAACAACTGGTCCAGCTGCAGGAGCAGGAGTGTGCAGTGGAGCAGGAGCACCAGGACTTGGTCATTCTGATGCAGCAGTTCCAGGCACTGATGGGCAAGGTACCAGTGCTGGGCACAACAGCCACAGACCAAGCTGTGTATGTCCCCCACTGCCACTGCCACAGGCCAGGCATCATGCCTGCCCCACAGCCTGTGCAAACACCTGGTGACCCCCCAGAGAACATCCTGCCAGCCACATGTGGCTCTAGCACCACCTATACAGAGCAGCCTAGCCACAAGGCAAGTCTGGCTGGAACAGCCCAGTCCACCCAGATGAGCAGAGCTGGAAGAATGCAGACTAACAGCACCACTGACACCCTGAGCACTGTCCCAGGGCTAGTGGCAGCAGCCCACAACCTTGCCAATGAGCTGGGATCTCCACTCTCCCTCTGCCCGTGCTCTGCCACTGGTCAGGAACCACAGAGATGGCTTTCCAGGGCTGCTGGGTGCCCAAGAGATACTGCCACAACAGGGAGGGCACTGTGGGGACAGCACAAAGAGGGCCAGAAACCAGCAGCCGTCCTGGCTCCCACCTGGTGCAGGCCACGCTCCTCTGTCACAGGCCCTGCCCAACAGCCCACTGTCCATGAGTTGTCCTAAAAAGGCTCCTTCTGCAGCCTCAGCTGTACACAGCAGGGGCACAGAGTGATCCCACACCCTGCTGGGTATTCACAGGTCAGTGGTACACCCCTCCACCTGAAGGACCAGGCAGTGCAGACAGAGGTCACCTCCTACTTGGCTGTCCACAGTGATTTTGACACCAGCCACGATATCCCACAGGAGAAGCTGCTCAAGCAGGTCAGTGCCAGCAGCCCCCCCAGCCACTACACCAAGCCTAGGGGCAAGCAGCCAGGGGCACACAGGAGCCATGACAACCACACTGCAGGGCTGACCCCTGCTCCACTTCCCCAGGAAGCTCTGGGACAGGGTGGGAGGCAACAATGCCACACTCAGCCAGGTACTGGCCAGCCCTCAGTGTCCTGCAGCACACAGAGAGGAGCTGTGCCTGTGCTCAGGGAAGGGCATACAGCACAAGGCCAACCCACTGACCACTGCCTTCTCTGCAGCTGCAGGCACAGGAGCAGAGCCAGGGCCTGCAGCACAGCCCAGCCCGGCTGCAGGAGCAGCTGGGAGTCACCCAGGCCCAGGAGAAGCAGAGTCTGCAGCAGCTGAGCAGAGCCAAAGAGGCCATCCAAGGCCTACACCAAAAAGTGGCAGAGCTGCAGCAACAGGTGAGGGCAAGGTAGGACAGGACAGGGATGAAGCCTCAGTCCCAGACCCCTCTCCTGCATCCAGGAGAGGCTCAGCCATGGCCAACCACCCTCCCTGCCCCACAGCTTTGCTGGCAGGTGCAGGACATGGAGAACCTCCAGGCAGAGCTGGCCCAAGTCCGGCAAGAAAGCACCAAGCAGGCAGAAAAGATTGCAGCCTACAAGATACACAGGCAGAAGCTTCATCAGGAGCTGAGGAAAATGCAGAGCTTCAAGAAGCAGAGCAAACAGAAGGTAAGGATGTCTCAAGTCTTCCTGTAAAAAAACCAGCAATTTGTGCTCAGCCTGTCTCTCTCACTGTGCCATGGGCAGACCTACTCTCTCCAGGAGAGGCTGCAGCAGCTGACCAGCCTAGTCCAACACTGGCAGCAGCTACACCTGGACAGTGAACGAACTCTGGCTCTGCGAGAAGAGGAGCTGGTTGTCTGCAAGGTGGAGCTGGCTTTCCTTAAGGAAGAGTTCAACAAGGTGACAGAGCAGGTGCAGGACACAAACAGGCATTCAAGGCACACTAGGCAAGATGCAGGAGGAGAACCCGTTCCTAATGTTCAGAACACCTGAGCAATCACACAAGTGTGAGCAGCTGAAAAAGTGAGCAGAATTCCTGACACAGCCTGGCATGAAACAATGCTGGGACGATGGTCCCAGGTGTGCAGGGATAGCTGGGCACCAGCTGCCTGTCCCAGGGCATGGGCTGTGGGAGAACTGCCTTTGCAGGAATATGGGCTGGGCTTGAAACAGGGACAGGCTGTATTTGTCCTCCAGGTCTCTTTAATTTTGTGCCCTGTTCCAAGTTCTACAGGGCAACAACCTGACAGCACCAGCCCTGCATGATTCTGCAGAGCTACCTCCACCCAACACCCACCTCCAGGACAAGAAGCAGTGTGAAACAAAGCAAAGATTAGACAGACAACCTTTAAACAAATAAAATTCTTTCTGTTTTGTAGCAAAATTAGTGCCAAACAGGCACTAAAATTAAAGCCTTTCAGGGCCACAAGCTGTAAAGATCTCAGAGTACACTGATCAGGGTATCTGGGCACTACCTTAAGCCTCAAAGGAACAGGTCGTGCCTTCTTAGAGACCAAAGCGGGCTGGGGTGCGTCGTGGTGTCAGGGGCTCCCCCTGCTCCTTTCGCCCAGGGGTATAGATTTTAGTAGATCTGTCAAAGAGGACAAGGGCAATTAATGGAAAATGCAACCTCTTCCTGCACTAGAACTCCCACAGGGAAGCTGGGATCCTTCACACAGGCAAGCCATGGGCAGGCAGGGCTATCACCCACCTTGCACTGCCCAGTGGGTTACGGCGCTCCTGCTCCTCCCGGCGGGCACGCAGCTGCTCCTCTGCCAAAGCCATTTCCTCCTCCATGGCAGACACTTCCTCCTTGGCACGGCGGCGGTTCTCCTGGAGCAAGGCAGAAGCAGATCAGACTCTCTGCAGGCCCACAAGCTTGCTCTCTTCAAGTCAAAACACACACATACAGCAGAATGCAGAGGGCCTGCAGTTTGCCAACTCATCCAGGACAGAATACTTACCTGGCGTGACTTGCCAGCATGTTTGATACTGTAGAACATGGGGCCCAGCTCTGCCAGCCACTCTCCATCCACAGCAGTGACACACTGCATGTACTCCTACAGGGACAGAAGGACCAGGATAGCACGATGGCATCCTTGGGGCCTGGGCACCATTCACAGAGCCATAGCAGCTCCCTTCCTCCCCCAGTTGCTGATAGCACTTCTCAGGCTGGGACCATACCACTTCTAGACAATTCCTCCTGGCCTCAGAAGCTGCTATGGGTTGGATTTGATGAGACCACAAGGAAGATCAAACATATCCCACAGACGCCAGAGAAGAATAATGGGGGAAGGGACAGACAGATGACACAGACATGCCTAATTGGTATAGATAGAAAAGGCTGATATCTGCCACTCAGACAGATCTCAGTCTCACAGTAAAGTCCTCCCATCTCCCTTGGAGCACTCATCACCCTTTCTGCTAGCCCTCAGCTTAAGCTCACCTTGGTAGTCATAACCAATTCATGGTACACAATGTAGTCTGGTGTGTAGCCCATGCCAAACAGAGAGCTTGTGGGGTGCAGGTGACAGGGCATGCCTGTGCGGATGTTCACATACTCCCCAATGCCCTGCAAAGACAAGTGTCTTTAGTCCACCTGTTCCCAGGCAGGGCCTTGCAGCTCCCAGGCAGCTCAGACCCCTCTCACCTTCAGCTTTGCAGCCTGATGAAAATATGCAGCACAGATGCACTTCCTGACAACATCCCAGTCTGTACCACAGGATGCCAGGCTCATTCGCTGCTGCACCATAATGTCCTTGAGCTGGGCACGCACCTCCCGCACCTGCAAAGGTGTGTGCTGCTCAGATCCCTCTTCTGCATAAGACTGTCTCCCCCAGCCTTATGGCCACAGCCTCACCTTCCGCATGGCCTTGGCATGGATGAAGTGCTGATTGCACCACAGGGTAGAATAGCTGTTGTTTTTCCACTGCAAGTAAACATTCAGGTAAGTCAAGTGATCGCTCTCTGGAACAGCAAATTTCTCCCGCACTTGGTCACTCTCCTCCTCTCGACCCTGAAGGGTAAGCAAAGAACATGGGTTAGTCAAAGTGCAGGGAAGGGCCCTGAGCTGCTGGAACAGCAGCATCTTGTACCTTAGGGCGGTAAAAGATGGCAGGCACAGACAACATGGAGACAACGAGCAAGATCTCAGAGCTGCAACCCATGTCACAGGAGACAATGAGCATTTTGGAGAGTGCAGGGTCCAGTGGGAACTCCACCATGAGACGTCCTGTAGAGGTCAGACCACCTGCAGGAACAGAACAGGAATCACTGATCAGCAGCTGAGCAGGCCCTAGTTCTATGGGCTAGCAGCATACCCCAGCAGGCAATACCTGTGTTATCCAGGGCCCCCAGGATCCACAGCTGGTACATGGAGTTCAGCATATTGTCCTCAGGGGGCGGATCCATGAAGTGGAACTGCAACAGGTCCTGCACACCCAGGGACTTGAGCAAGAGCACTACATTGGCAAGGTTGGTGCGCTGGATCTCAGGCACCGTGGTTGTCAGCAGCTCATTCTTGTAGGCACTCTGGGTGTAGAGCCTAGGAAGAGATGCCAAGAGCATGCTCCTGATCCAGCCACTGCGTTCCTTACAGACTTGCCAGCCTCTGCCCAGCCCCGCCCAGCATGGCACAGGGCAGCAACCCTGCACCCAGCACCAGGACCCTGGGGAGGCACTTGTAGTCCAGTCAAACTGTGGTCAACCCAGCACATTGGGGTGTTTGGGTTGCAGCACAGCACATGACCAAGCACAGCCCTTCCTTACAGCAAAGGCCTGGGAAAGGCCTTTGGCTTTGCTCTTATCCTGATGGCATCAAGGGCAGACCAGCCACAAGTGAAGATGAGCACAGGAAAGAAATGGAGCATATCCTTTTCTCTGCAGAAGCACTGGGTCCAAAGAAGGCCTTCAGGCCTGCCTACTGCCCACATCCCCCCAAAGTTCAAGATAATGAACAGCTCCAGTGAGAAAGAAAAATATACATAACCCGATGCCAAGCTGAGGATACAACAGGAACATGAACACCAGTGACGTGCCTACCTGAAACAGTGGCCTGGGCCTGTGCGGCCAGCTCGGCCAGCCCTCTGATTGGCATTGGCCTGACTGATGGGGTATATCTGCAGCGCATCCATGCCTATACGGGGGTTGAAAACCTTCAGGGCACAAGAAGGCACAAATAAGAGGAAGGCTAGACCATGACCTCAGAACTCCCTCAACCTACCCCAGAAATCAAAGACAGTACAGAAAACCCTGGCTCACCTTCAATTTGCAGTAGCCAGAATCAATCACAAACATGATACCATCCACTGTCAGTGAGGTCTCTGCTATGTTAGTGGCAACGATGCACTTCCTGACCCCATCAGGAGCCTGCAAGCACACTACCCATCAGTCACATCCCTGGGCATAGCTCTGCTCCACTGAGGAGTGCAGAGCAGCAGAGGGACAGGGGTGACTCGGGAACTGGGGTGGGGTATATGCTTTCTCCCATCCTCCACATGCAATACCGAGGTATATCTACACCTCTCACTCCTGCTCTGTGCTGTCTCCTGCTCCAGTTTTCCCTGTCCCCACCCTAATCACAAAGCACACATCAGCACCTTCTGAAAGATCTTGGCCTGCAAGTCCGAGGGCAACTGAGAGTAGATTGGCAGTACAGCAAGAGCAGGCGCCTTCTCCAGCTCCTCAAGGTGCTCCACAATTTGCTCTGAAGTCACCTAGACACAAAGAGGGGTGAAAACATCAGACTGAAACAAGGGGGTAGGATAGTGCCTGTCCTTCCAACTCACCTCAATATCCTCCTGGCCAGGCATGAAAACGAGGATGTCTCCAGGAGCACCAGACAAGTGGACCTGCAAGGCTTGTTTCACTGCAGCCTCCACATAATCCTCCTGTGGGGTCTGAACAACACAGCTCAGGTTAATCTGGACCAGTATCCTTACATGCCCTGTCCTGTGTGCAAGACTCTAGCACATCACAGCCACTCCTACCCTGTGTATCCCCCTCAGAGTACTGCACACCTAGGTCACAACCCCCTCCTACCAACAGAATTTTCATCCACAATCTTAACTATACCTTGCTGAAAAGAATATCCACAGGGAAAGTACGCCCAGGAATGTGGAAAATGGGAACGTTCCCAAAGAAGGAGGCAAACTTATCTGCATCCATGGTGGCTGAAGTGACAACAAGCTTCAGATCTGAGCGTCGGGCGACCACCTAGGAAGCAGATGAAAGGAACAATATGGAAGGTGCATTCATGCATGGCTGTCGGCTGCTTTCATTCTTACTAGGACAATGGCACAGGACAGAGCTTCTGTTGTACTCGAGGCAAACCTGCCAACCTCAGTCCAGGAAACTTTAATCCAGCAAAGACCTCTGTGTCGGCAGTTCTGACATTCAGCCAGCAAGATGTGGTAGCATTACAAGAGAGTTAACCCCCCCCAGAATCAAGGACCAGGGTGCTGAAGCAGTCAAGCACGGACAGATGTGGCAGCTCTGCTTCCCTCCCCTAGTCCTGGCAGAGAAGGGCTGTCCCAGATGACGTGCCCCACGCTGCTGTCCTCTAGCCCAGGATCACACACACCTCCCGAAGCAGCCCGAATAGCACATCGGTGTTGAGCGAGCGCTCGTGTGCCTCGTCCATGATGATAGCACTGTAGTTGTCCAGGTCAGCCTCCCGCAGCGACTCACGGAGCAGGATCCCATCCGTCATGTACTTGATCACTGTGCTCTCAGACGTGCAGTCCTCAAAGCGGATGGCATAGCCTACCTGGGAGGGCGGAGATACCAGAAGTCTTCCAACAGTCCTGTGCACCCACTGTCATTGGGTGGCACCCCTGCACTCCCCAGCAGACTCACCTCCTCCCCCAGACGCACCCCCATCTCCTCACTGACCCGCTTGGCCACCGACATGGCAGCCACTCTGCGGGGCTGTGTGCAGCCGATCATGCCATAATCAGTGTAGCCATCCTCATGGAGATACTGTGTCAGCTGAGTTGTCTTTCCGCTCCCGGTCTCCCCCACCACGATCACAATGCTGTTGTCTCTGAGGAAAAGGAAAAGGTATTCTTCATACACCTTCAAAGAAGGGCTTTTGTGTTCTCTAGCTAAGTATCATCCTACTCAGGCAGGACAGCTGAGCAAACACAAAGTGATGGGGTTGCTTCCTAAGAGTACAGCTTCCCAATGATTCTACATGATTCATAATTCTGCAATTCCTCAACTGAGTTCCTAAACACAGGCCAATGCCCTGGGGATGCCCTGGCAGCTATACCTGAGGATGGAGAGCAGTTCCTGCTGTACAGCAAAGATGGGTAGATATTGTCTCTGCTCCAGGATCGATTTCTTCTTGGCAAACTCACTGCTGGCTTCACTTTTTTCTTTCATGTGTTCAGCAAACTTCTGCTCTGTTCTAAGGAAACACCGCAAGTC